TAAATATCAACACCAGTCTTAATAATAAAAAAAAAAGAGTTTCACTACCTCTGAGAATTGCTAGGAAGTTTAAGAGCAAGAACTCACATTACTTCACGAAGAAGCACTCAACACACATGAGCTTTTGTTAATGGAGAAGCTATTTAGCCCACAGCTTAAGAGATGCAACCCACATTTTCTGCATTGCAAGCATTTCTAAACATCTTTCTCAAGTGTTTTCTAGAGACCAAAAAAAAAAACCGTCAGCATATCACACATTAAAACATCACCTTCATCTTTATTTATTACTGAAGTATAATTGACGTACAATGCTGTGTTAGCTTCAGGTGTACAACACTGGTTCCACAATTCTGTGCATTACTCAGAGCTCACCATGGTAAGTGTAGTCACCATCTGTCACCAAACATTATTACAATATTAACTATATCCCTTATGCTATTTCTCTGACTTTTCATCTCTGTGATGAAAATCTCATTTACAGATGGCCAACAGACACATGAAAAGGTGCTCAACATCACTCATCATCAGAGAATGCAAATCAAAATCACGAGATATCACCTCACACCTGTCAGAACAGCTAGTATCAAAAAGACAGAGGTATTTGTAAGGATGTGGAGAAAAGAGAACCCTTGTGCACCCCTGGTGGGGATGAAATTGGTACAATCACTGTAGAAAAGAGTATGGAGGTTCCTCAAAAAAGCAAAAACTGAAACACCATGATCCAATAATTCCACTACTAGGTATTTACCCAAAGAAAACGAAAACACTAATTCAAAGGGATACATGCACCCCTATGTTTACTGCAGCATTATTTACAATAGCCAAGATATGGAAGCAGCCCAGGTGTCCATCAACAGATAAACGGATAAAGAAAATGTGGCCCATACACACACACACACACACACAAATATTACTCAGTCAATTAAAAAGAACACAATTTCCCTTTCATCTGGAAGCAACAAATGACAGTATACTTGTGGGTATGAATAATAAAATGTGCTTACATATTGTTAATGTATCTTAGGTAACTTACCAGGGAGCCACCTGTCACTAGAGAAAAGACCAAATTAGAAAAGTGGGCTTTTGTAAAAGAAAAATAGAAAACACATAGGAACTGTGACTTACTAGGAGAATTCATTGTGAGTCAAAGACTTTTCTAAGCATAAACATCAGGATTTGAATGTGGCCAGGCATTCCTGAGCCTGCTTCCTTAACCACTTAATCACTTAACCTGAACTCTCCTTCATCGCCATTAAGGCTGACAACTGTTCAGTGCTTTGCCATGAGAAAAACAACAGAAACAAACTTCTGAGTGGTACACGAAATGTTCATGGTGACTCTACATGTCACTACAAAGTAAAGAATCTACTGTATGTTAAAGACCTAACTTTTATAAAATCAACCACATCAGTGAGATCCTATAGCATCCTGTGTACTCCTGATTCCCACTTCTTGCCTACGAATTTGCCAATACTAGATACTGTTTGCTGACGGATTCTCACTATTTCCATCCTCTTCTATGTTTTTCTCTATCTGGCAAGGCCTGCAAAGCTAAAAACAGCATTTCCCAGACTCCCTTATTAACAGGATTCAGGGTGGATTCTATCAAAAAGACACATTTCTGTAAGATTTGGAAGACAGAAGGAAGAGAGCTATTCCTTTCCATCAGAGGAAGTAGTCCACATTCTACCACCTTGTACCAGTTTCACAGGTGTAGGAAGCTGGAAGCTCAGCAATGATTTCCTCAAGTCTCCTGGGATAGCAACAACAGTATCCTGACCTTGAGAATAAATGTATGGATGCATGAACTGGAAACCCACCTAGGACACACAGACATCTGTCCCTTCAGCTTTTCCAGTAATTTTGCAAGCATCTAATTTACTGTTTTAACTATCTTTATACTTGAAATTCGTTTCTGAGCCAGTTATTGAGTTCACAACTCTCAGCCTCAAGCCTACCCTGCTATATGCAGTTTGGGATCCTAGAGAAGGAACTCTACAAACCATACTCCTTCCTGATTTGCCAGAGGGCTCCATGCTAGGCTCTGCCAGTAGGTGGTGCAAGAGGAGAGAGGCTGCCAATCTGGAGATGAACTTGCTCCTTCCTATGTGTCTCCTGTGTGTTTCCTGTGGGCTTGCAATGCCCTTGAGAGTTGCTTCTTCACCCTGACAAGCACAGTTCCTTCCAACAGCAGAAGATGAATCCAGTTTTCAGATTTCAGCAACACTTGGAAAACTATCTTCATTGTCTTCTACCCCAAAGGAAGAGACACTAGACCAGCCAGGCATCTCCCCCTCTTCAGAGATCAAAGTATCAGCTTTGAGAGACCCCTCTCTGAAGTTTAAAAGTATTAATAATTCCAATATTTTTCCCTGTGTTCCCTCAGCCCTAGGTGTGGCCGCTGCTTCCTTCAGTTTCCACTATAAGGTACCTTAGGACAGGCGAACTACGCTAAAAAGGACAAGATAGTAAATACTCTAGGATTTGTGTGCCAAAAGTCTCTAACGTAGTCTCTAACTAATCTACTCTACCACTACAGTATGAAAGCAGCCATGGGCAATTTGGCAATGAATGGGGATGCTGGTGTTCAAGAAAACTTCACTTGCAAAAAGTGTCGGCTCCGACTTTTCCTAAGGGTTGTTACTTGCCCTAGAATTCTCTTTTTATGCTTTTTGTTATCTAATTAAGAACTCCACACTTAATTCAGAGTTTTGTTTATTAAAATCACTCTGTTCAACTAACATGCAGGGTATTTATCTCCTGATCAGACCTGACTGTCACTATTTCCTGCACTGAATCTTGACTATTCCTGTATTAGGTATCAGAAATAGTTCTAAGAAACAGTCCAAAGATGGGAAACTGGGATTAATTATTTCACCTGCTTGGGTTTCAAGGCAGTGATGATGATTCTTATCACCAGTGGGGAAAAAAATGCTAGTTGTCCATGACAAGCAGTACCAAAACATTATTTAAATTATCATCTATCATATACTTTCTTTGATTTTCCAGCCATCCTCTTGCTTCTTCCCTGGAACCCAGAGGTCATATCAACACTCTTCTTTCCTTTTCTCCTGAACCAGCTGTTTCCCTAGAGTGCTCAAAACCAGAGACAACTGGCCAAGCTCTAGGAGCAGCAAAGAAAAATCCAAGTGGTGCAGACCTTTAAACTTGAAATTAGTATTTCTCAAAGATGACCTGACAGAGGCAGAAGTAGATCGAGCAAATTCTGCTTCTAGGCATATAAAGTAACTGAGACATCAGACTTGTAAACAACTAGAGAATTGGAAACAAAAAGATGAAACACTGGACAATAGGTAACTCAGGACTAGAATCCTTTTAAGAAGTGAAGTGAATGAGATGAGCTTCCACTTATATGTGAGATGAAGTAAGGGAAGCTAGACCCAACGTTTTTAATTCTGGGGCCATTTCCTTTGTTCCTCTCTTGTCTGCTTCAACCTCAGAGCTCTGCAACCTGAAATCTCAACTTTGGAGCTCCACAGAGATCTACTCTATACCTAATTTACTTCCCTAGCATTCTGCTTTTATTCCACGCCTACCAAATGAAACATTTTGAGAAAGGAATGCCTTCAACCCGACTAAAGAATGAGGCGGATGGAACAAGGTGAAAGGGGAGGATAGGGAGGGGAAAGAGGAGAAATACGGACTCTAGTCAGAAATACAGAATGCCCCTTGGAGTATGGATCAAAAAACATCCATAGAAATTGCACCTCTGTTCAGCAGATACTAGTATGTAAAAGTTGTTATACTGAAAGATGATGTTCAACACTGGTTAGGAAGAAGAATTCTCAACAGGTTGCCAAGGAAAGCCAGACACATTCTGTGAAACTTGTTTGGCTTCACAAATCATTCCATGATCTAGGGTCAACCAAAAGTCCCAAGTTGTACTTGCAGCCTTAGACTGCTATGTAGAGTCAAAAGTCCATCTCTTGATTCCAGAGAACACATGGCATAAAAGGAAAATATAGCCTCACTTCTGAGTTACCACCACTTAAGAGGCTTAGTTTAAGATTGTGGATGCCTCGGATCTAGAAGATCGTCAGCAAACAAGGAAACTCTTGGCACAGACATTCTGGGTGTGTTCACAGGCTATGTGGATTTGTCTAAGGGTGAAGCTCCCAAGCCATGGAGCAGTATCTTGCCAACGGTGTCTTGGAGGCACAGAGACTCACCCCGACTCATGCCTTTGGAGTCCTGAAGAGGTACAGTGTGTGTTGCCCATCATAGTTTTCAGGGCTTCCCTGATCTGCAAGTATAAACGTCTCTGTACTATATCTTATCCTTTTTACTAACCCTGTCATCTGCTCCTATAAGAGGCTTTAAATATACTGCATGAAGGGTAGCCTTAGGTTCCAAGCAGTAATAAGCCCTTGTTACAAGTCCCGACAAATGGAATCTCATTGCTCAGCTGATATCTTCACATCAAACTACTTCTCAGGTCATTGGTTAACCTCACATCAGTTCCTACCCCTGGTCTCATCAAAGGCTTCAGGCTGTGATTGGGTGGGTACAGGTCTATAAAATGCTCAGAGAACCATGCTGTTCAATCCTCCATGAGCTGGTGGCATTAGAATGTCAAGGGAATTAAGTGCTTATGTAGCCTATTCCTATATAAATTCAAACAACTCCTGTATTATCTTTATGTTAAAGTTCGTACTAGAAAGAAAATCCTACAAGTCTCCTTAGTAACCTACTCTGGAGTGAACCATCACCACTTAGCAAATCAAAATAGGTCCCATTAACATTTTAAATGCAAAATTCTAGATAAATAAAGGAAAGCATCATGAAGCAGTGTTCCAAATTTACTATTTTGGTGTTTAAAGATAGGAATTTATGACATCTGTTCATAAATAACAAAATACACAGAATAGTTTTATAGTTATTTTTTAGAAAAAAAACCCTCATTATCAGTTATAGTAAAAATAAATAAATGAAGAGTTTAATACAGTAATAACAACTACAACTTTTGAAAAACTACTTACATCCAAAGAATCTTCCTTCAACAGGATAAGGGCCATATTTTGTGATACCAACCGGCAGGAATATCCTAGAGTAGAGGAAAGACCAACACAACTGAGTTAACCATTCCTTCCATGAACTCATTGCTTTCCAATAACTATTTAAATTGTCTCCCTTCTTATGTCTTCCATATTACCTTTTTAAGTCTGCTGGGGAAGACAGAGGAATTGGACAAGCGTGTGGGGTAGGAAAAGTAAGTTATTTAAGCATATTTTGATTCTTGCAGACAGCCTGAATAGAACTGTTTGGGGAGGTCTTCATAACTAATGGCTAAAATAAATATTGGTCAGTTTTCCGTGGATTTTTCTTTATGCTTGTATAACATCAGGATAAGCCTTGGATTATCTTTAAAAAAGAGCTAACACTTTAGAAAGACACATGGAATGTGATGGTGCTTCCAAATCAGCATAAACGAGCCTACCCTACTATCAAGATCCCTCATTTGCTTGTTTAAAAAGTAGGTAATTCTCACAACAGATTTCAAAGGAATACTATCATATGTTGAGGGAATCACTTTTCCTACCCAAGTTCAAAGCAATCCCCATTTCAAGAATTAAACCTGAGTTAAAAAAAAAAAAGTTTGTTTAGAACAAAAGAAATGTCATCCAAAACCCATTCTTATCAATAATTTCCATCACATTTTAAAATAGTTACCGCTATAGACTAAGCAAGATACTCTTCTACTCTCCTCCCAGAAGGTGAACATGATTTCTCTGAATCATTTTCCTACTCAGGCTTTGCAGTCCACGCCAAAACATCTGGAGATACTCGGTGACACCACAGAGCAGGAGGAGAGCTCTCCTCCCCACTCAAATCCACACACTCTGGGAAAGAGCAGCTCCAGCAAATCCTAAGACCCTGGATGTCTGTCAGGACTCTACTCTTTCCTTTCAAGCTACCCTCCACCCTCTGAGTGTCCCTTGAGAGAGCGCATTCACCAACCACCAATCTCAATTTATCTCATTGAGAAAAGGTAAGAAAAGAATCCTTCCACCTAGAAAGTTGTTTCTTTTTCCTCAGCACCTGAAGATAAAAGATTAATGATCACAGAAACATGAAACAAATCATCAGCATGGAGAATTACAACCTTCGAGCAAGTACCTGGGTGACAATATCAAGGAAGGGGCTTAACCAATGCTGTTCCTAAAACAAGGAGGAGCCTGGATTCTCCTCCACAGAACAGCTAAAATACCCATCCCATTCTGGCAGATGCTATATTTAAGTGAAAAAGGAGACAGGCATTTATTTAACTAATGGGCAAGTCTCAGAACTACTGCATTTATGTGACAAATCTACTCAGCAGGGCTTCTCTCCCCCACCCCCCTCCAACCCCATGCTGAGGAAACCCTATTAAAAGGCACCAAATAGACTTCAAGACACACAAAAATTAAGACCAAGAAAAACCTTGTATTGTTGTGTTGTTTAGGAAGGAGAGAGACACTAAATATTTGTTTATTTTGTAATGTACAAAGTATTATCCTTCACTAACTATTGTCATTTCAGCATATTTTGTAGATCACCTCAGAACACAAGCCTTCAAGCACAAACTTATGGCTTTTAATCCAAATATTTTTTATTCTTTTTTATTTTTTTTAATTTTTTATTGTTATGTTAATCACCATATATTACATCATTTGTTTTGGTGTAGTGTTCCATGATTCATTGTTTGTTCATAACACCCAGGGCTCCATGCAGAATGTGCCCTCTTTAATACCCATCACCAGGCTAACCCATCCCCCTACCCTCCTCCCCTCTAGAAACCTCAGTTTGTTTTTCAGAGTCCATCGTCTCTCCTGGTTCGTCTCCCCCTCTGACTTACTCCCCGTCATTCTTCCTCTCCTGCTATCTTCTTCTTTTTCTTTTTTCTTAAAATATGTTGCATTATTTGTTTCAGAAGTACAGATCTGTGATTCAACAGTCTTGCACAATTCACAGCGCTCACCATAACACATACCCTCCCCAATGTCTATCACCCAGACACCCCATCCCTCCCACCACCGACCACTCCAGCAACCCTCAGTTTGTTCCTGAGATTAAGAATTCCTCATATCAGTGAGGTCATATGATACATGTCTTTCTCTGATTGACTTATTTCACTAAGCAAAACACCCTCCAGTTCCATCCACGTCGTTGCAAATGGCAAGATCTCATTCCTTTTGAAGGCTGCATAATATTCCATTGTGTCTATATACCACATCTTCTTTATCCATTCATCTGTTGATGGACATCTTGGCTCTTTCCACAGTTTGGCTATTGTGCACATTGCTGCTATAAACATTGGGGTGCACGTACCCCTTTGGGTCCCTACATTTGTATCTTTGGGGTAAATACCCAGTAGTGCAATTGCAGGATCGAATGGTAGCTCTAATTTCAACTGTTTGAGGAACCTCCATACTGTTTTCAGAGGGGTTGCACCAGCTTGCATTCCCACCAACAGTGTAGGAGGGTTCCCCTTTCTCCACATCCCCACCAACATCTGTCGTTCCCTGACTTGTTAATTTTAGCCATTCTGACTGGTGTGAGGTGGTATCTCATTGAGGTTTGGATTTGGATTTCCCTGATGCCGAGCGATGTTGAGCACTTTTTCATGTGCCTCTTGGCCATTTGGATGTCTTCTTTGGAAAAATGTCTGTTCATGTCTTCTGCCCATTTCTTGATTGGATTATTTGTTCTTTGGGTATTGAGTTTGATAAGTTCTTTATAGATTTTGGATACTAGCCCTTTATCTGGTATGTCATTTGCAAATATTTTCTCCCATTCTGTCGGTTGTCTTTTGGTTTTGTGGACTGTTTCTTTTGCTGTGCAAAAGCTTTTTATCTTGATGAAATCCCAATAGTTCATTTTTGCCCTGGCTTCCCGTGCCTTTGGTGATGTTTCTAGGAAGAAGTTGCTGCGGCTGAGGTCGAAGAGGTTGCTACCTGTGTTCTCCTTTAGGATGTTGATGGACTCCTGTCTCACGTTTAGGTCTTTCAACCATTTGGAGTCTATTTTTGTGTGTGGTGTAAGGAAATGGTGCAGTTTCATTCTTCTGCATGTGGCTGTCCAATGTTCCCAACACCATTTGTTGAAGAGACTGTCTTTTTTCCATTGGACATTCTTTCCTGCTTTGTCGAAGATTAGTTGACCATAGAGTTGAGGGTCCATATCTGGGCTCTCGATTCTGTTCCATTGATCTATGTGTCTGTTCTTGTGCCAGTACCATACTGTCTTGATGATGACAGCTTTGGAATAGAGCTGGAAGTCCGGAATTGTGATGCTGCCAGCTTTGCTTTTCTTTTTCAAGATTCCTCTGGCTATTCGGGGTCTCTTCTGGTTCCATACAAATTTTAGGATTATTTGTTCCATTTCTTTGAAAAAAGTGGATGGTATTTTGATGGGGATTGCATTGAATGTGTAGATTGCTCTAGGTAGCATTGACATCTTCACAATGTTGGTTCTCCCAATCCATGAGCATGGAACGTTTTTCCATTTCTTTGTGTCTTCTTCAATTTCTTTCATGAGTATTTTATAGTTTTCTGAGTACAGATCCTTTGCCTCTTTGGTTAAATTTATTCCTAGGTATCCTATGGTTTTGGGTGCAATTGTGAATGGGATCGACTCCTTGATTTGTCTCTCTTCTGTCTTGTTGTTGGTGTATAGGAATGCCACTGATTTCTGTGCATTGATTTTATAGCCTGCTACTTGACTGAATTCCTGTATGAGTTCTAGCAGTTCTGGGGTGGAGTCTTTTGGGTTTTCCACATACAGTATCATATCATCTGCAAAGAGTGAGAGTTTGACTTCCTCTTTGCCGATTTGGATGCCTTTGATTTCTTTTTGTTGTCTGATTGCTGTGGCTAGGACTTCTAATACTATGTTGAATAGCAGTGGTGAGAGTGGACATCCCTGCCGCGTTCCTGACCTTAGGGGAAAAGCTCTCAGCTTTTCCCCATTGAGAATGATATTCGCTGTAGGTTTTTCGTAGATGGCCTTTATGATATTGAGGTATGTACCCTCTATCCCTATACTCTAAGAGTTTTGATCAAGAAAGGATGCTGTACTTTGTCAAATGCTTTTTCTGCATCTATTGACAGGATCATATGATTCTTGTTCTTTCTTTTGTTAATGGATTGTATCACGTTGATTGATTTGCAGATGTTGAACCAGCCTTGCAGCCCAGGGATAAATCCCACTTGGTCGTGGTGAATAATCCTTTTAATGTACTGTTGGATCCTATTGGCTAGTATTTTGGTGAGAATTTTTGCATCCATGTTCATCAAGGATATTGGTCTGTAATTCTCCTTTTTGATGGGGTCTTTGTCTGGTTTTGGGATCAAGGTAATGGTGGCCTCATAAAATGAGTTTGGAAGTTTTCCTTCTATTTCTATTTTTTGGAACAGTTTCAGGAGACTAGGTATTAATTCTTCTTTAAATGTCTGATAGAATTCCCCTGGGAAGCCATCTGGCCCTGGGCTTTTGTTTCTTGGGAGATTTTTGATGACTGCTTCAATTTCCTTCGTGGTTATAGGTCTGTTCAGGTTTTCCATTTCTTCCTGGTTCAGTTTTGGTAGTTCATACATCTCTAGGAATGCACCCATTTCTTCCAGGTTATCTAATTTGCTGGCATAGAGTTGCTCATAATATGTTCTTATAATTGTTTGTATTTCTTTGGTGTTGGTTGTGATCTCTCCTCTTTCATTCATGAGTTTGTTGATTTGGGTCATTTCTCTTTTCTTTTTGATCAGTCTGGCCAGGGGTTTATCAATCTTGTTAATTCTTTCAAAGAACCAGTTCCTAGTTTCGTTGATCGGTTCTACTGTTCTTTTGGTTTCTATTTCATTGATTTCTGCTCTGATCTTTATTATTTCTCTTCTCCTGCTGGGTTTAGGCTTTATTTGCTGTTCTTTCTCCAGCTCCTTTAGGTGTAGGGTTAGGTTGTGTATTTGAGACCTTTCTTGTTTCTTAAGAAAGGCTTGTATTGCTATATACTTTCCTCTCAGGACTGCCTTTGCCGTATCCCAAAGATTTTGGACAGTTGTGTTTTCATTT